CTATTCAATTGTTTTAGGACATCTTGCGAGACTACTTTCGGAAAGTCAGAGCAGAGGGGTCTTGATCTTGCTCTCATAACAAGTGTGCTTTCCTCTAGCATTCAAACGCAAACGCTTACTCCATCTCTTGGTGTCTAACGTCGAGGAGTGCTGTTCAAGATTGTGGTAATGACAGATTCACCCAATAGAGTACAGAAGGGAATAAAGAGCCATAACAAACAAACTACCCAAGCAAGCACCATAAACATAGGCAGTAGAAAGCAAAAATAACGTTTGTCACTTCGGTAGAATTTCACTTTTGAATGTACTGAAATGATCAGCTCGAAGAACGACTCCAGAAATTTCTGTGGAGGATGATGGTGAAGTTAATATGGTGAATTGTAAGATGTTGAGTTTTCTATCAAATTTTCAGAGAATCTTGCAACAATTTGAGTGATGAGATCATTTTGAGTTTAGAAGTTGATGCTTAATTATTCTAAATCTATTCCTTAGAAAACTTAGAGACAAAGGTCACATAAAGTCATATGATCACCATCATTGAAGCCACGAAAGCTTGGTAACATAAGAACCCAGAAAGCTACTACCTACTGATCACTCTTCTTTCAAGATTTACTCCACATGAGCTGTTTGATTCATGCAATGCTTTTTTCTCATTGATGTAAAAGAAGTGGGTCGGAATTTCCGCGAAGTGCATTGTAGCTCCATAGAGGATTTAACTAAATAGTTTCGGTGAAAAGTTCCGGGATTAAAAGTGAGGGCAGGTAAAAAGAGGAAGGTCCCTCATTCATCACCTAAACATGAACAACGACGCTTGATTTAACAGTATTTTTGCCCTCTCTGAAGACCGGATACCAGAAATTCATTGTTTATTATCATATGATATATGATTTCAATGGAGAACAATGGAAATCCAAGTGTCTTGAATTGTGCTGTTCCAGTATGTCAGGCGCCAGTTCTTTTTTTCACCATTTAGGGTCACCCCCAGGTACTTTTTCAGGGACCACCTGCTATCATTCCGCCTTCAAAATCGCATTGAGATATTGAAGTATTCAGAAGCGTCTTAAAAACAGTCACCCTAAAGTCAGTGACTAAAGTGTACCCAAACAGTCCGATCAGGCCGTTTGGGTACACTTTAGTGAGCAAGGATGGAGGGATCATCAAAAAGAGATCGACTAACTAGTAACTTCTGAGAGAATGAAAAAAGTAGTTTCGCCGAGGATCCGTTGAAGATGCGGAGAACTGCACTGTAGGCTGTTTGGCAGAATGCTCCTGGCAGCAGCGGATTGCCCCTATGAACTTACTGTAACTTATCAACAACCCTGAAAATCGACATTGACGGTGCTCGATCACATCGTATGACCCAATCGTTATTGGAGGGGGTCAATAGTGGAGCATATAAATAGTCTCCAGACTGTACTAACGGCAGTCATCTCTCTCTCCATCAACACCATCATGGTCTTCAAGTTAGTTCATTTCTTTTCCTGCCCCCACTCCTTTTCCACCCCACTGCTCTGGCTTAATTTGTTTGTTTCAGATTCCTCCTTGCCTTGCACCTGGTTGGCTTCGCAAATTCTCTGCTAACAAACCAAGTAAGGGTACATTCGGTTGTTTGTTCGCTTCCCCTAGAAGCTCATTTCTTGTTACTTTCAGGAACCTGCCTGTGATGACGGTTGGTTGCGATTGTTTAGCTCGTGCTACTACTTCGAAGAGAACCGTATGACTTTTGCGAAAGCCGAAGCTAATTGTTTGGCGAAAGGAGGAAAACTGTTCGTCCCTGAAACAGCCATAGAATGGGTAAGTAGTAGGTCTAGGTGGTTTTGATGGTTACTTTGCTGATTAGTTAGTTATTTCTTCAGAAAGAAGTCGTCAAAAGAGCAGGAGTGGACTATTGGAGTTGGGTTGGCATGAAACGTGATGGCCTGTACATGCCGAAATGGAGAGGGAATGGCGGAGTCAACGTGGCTGAACTGTGAGTTCATCTCCCAATGCTCGAAATCCTCTTTCACCTTACAGGAATTGGACTTTTGCTTTCAGGGATTGGCTGGTCAACCCTGGTAGTCTTGCTGCGAATGGCTGGACTTCAGCAACCCAGTGCTTAGCCCATTACAACTCAGGATTCAGTCAATATTCATTCTTCTACTACTGTGAAATGGCGTACAACTCGATCTGCAAGAAAAGGGCTGCCATTTCGTCAGGAGGAATTCCGGAGCTCTTAATTGATGCCGATGATTTCTTGACAAAGTAACCGTTTAACATATCGATTGATTTTTTACAATAGTATTTATATGTATATAGTAGCTATTGATTTTCATACAATGACTTATCGAGGTTTATATGTATGTATCGTGCAGATTCCTTCCTATATATTATATGCATTTGGAGAATTTTCACTATGAATTTGCATTGACACAATAAACTCCTGTAGTTTCGTTTTGTTTAACTCAGGGGCAGTTCCTACTAATGGCTGCGCACGATATAAATTAATGAGCAAGAAAGGAATGACCAGCTGAAGAAGAAGGCTTGTAGGGACAGTCTGGTACATCAGGGTCCTGTTTTGGTGCAACAGTGCGAAAGGTGCAAAATGGTAGAGCTGTTTTTCTCGACGGTAGTAAGCCCTTATGTATCATTTTATGGTCTCTCCATTTCATTCTACTGCATGTATCGTATTGTCATACATTTTTCCGCTTTAATTTTATACAGCAACTTAGACGGCCACAATCTGACGGTGATGCATGATCACGCATATCGTAAACGGAGGTCCTCACGTCGCAGAGACACAGGCCAAGCCACCGACGAGTTAGAGCTTCAAAATTGGGTACCTAGGGTACTGAGCATGCATTGGAGCTAAAGTGGCCTTATTTTTATGACTCTGAAGGGAGATGTTGATAGTTCTTGTAAACAAATTAGAATGACGTAGAAGAACTAGTTCTCGATNTGGACCTCGCCTTCTGGTCGGCCCTCGGGATCTTCTTCTCCATATCACTGCAATTGAATTTCAATAGGTGTATAATCTGGAACCTGATCCATTCGCTATGAAGAAAACCAACCCTCTTCATGAAGAGGTCTCAGCATCAGGATTGAACTTGTCTGTAGACTGGAAGTCGTCCATAGGCTATACAACCATTTAAGCTGAAAATGAGGGCTATTTTAGACTACTTCTGAGAAGATAACCAGTATAGCGCGGACAGCCATGACGCTCAAGTTCCTTCTTGGAAAACTTTTTTTGGTGACCGCCATCAGCATCTTGTATTTGTTAGTCGTTGGTTGCTACTCTAGACTATTGCCCATGATTTCTGTCCAATACGTCAAGAAAGGCCCTAAACTCATCCCCACAAATCAGTTTCCGACTACTAGGTTTCCATTTTAGCCAGTTCAATCCATATTCCTTTTCGTAGCCCAACTCGCTGATGTGGCAACAATTTTGAAAGCTAAAATTGTTACCTTTATTGCTTCATTGTTTTTATAAGCCATGGTATAGGCTAGACAAATACATAAAAAAATTTTGAGCTAGATTCAATTCTTGGCTTTACCATCCTTAGACCATCTGTGAATATGCCGCTTCTTTACAACCTCAAACATATTTTGTTCTTTTTTTTNTTTTTTTTCTGAAGGTCCAGATGGCGCATAATTAGGGGAAGTAATTCCGGACTGATTTCGGCTTAAGCAGCCAATGCCTTCTATCCACCGGCTGTCGGTTACCTGCTGCTAGATTTTTCCGGGTGCTTTAAAGCTCTGATTTGTACATCGGCAGGGTACACAGTTCACTGTATAAGACACAACCTTTCAAACTTCCTACGATTCTTAATTGAAGTTGAATGAGAGGCGCTCCCCGAGGAGGGATTGATTAATGCCAGAAAAAGTTAGAGACTCCACCCTATGTTTATTTTCGAAAATTCGTACTGGAACCACTTCAATTCAATTCAACACCACCTCCTTGTGGCTACGTTCTAAGTGTGGAAGCTTGTTCTCGATTCAAAAAAATGGATCTATGTGGGCCTTTTTTCGAAAAAGAGTGTTTATCCAAGATTGAGTAACGGCATGTCCCTCCAAAGCTCATAGCAATGTCTAAGGATCAGCTGTCGGCAATTTCTGACAATGTGAGGGCATTGATCTGGATTAGTGAAGTGTCTGACAAACGAGATTCTCGGGGGCATGGGACTGGTAATCCCACAATTGATGTGAGTTATGATTTATGACGGCAAAGCCAAAGGGAAACGGGGATGATGGGTGCAGCAAATACGACCGAAGCAAGGACATTGCTAAGAAAACATACGATAAGGTCATTCAAAAAGATTACGCCATCGATGTCGTGCTACACATTGGACGTCCTTATTTTCCTCGGTTTCCTGAAGTTCTGCAATCATTAGGCAGCCTTCTATAAACCTTGCAATACTTCTTCTGACGTCCTATTGAAGTTTTGCTCATTCGGGAATACTTTTACGGGAACCGGGATCAGTCGCAAACCGATTTGTCATATCGAACAAATTAAGCAACCTATATATTTCCGATCCAACCTTTTTCTTGATAGGTTTTGTAGGGAACGGAGGTAGGGCAATGGTTAATGGTGTCACTATGACTGGTAATGGGTATTCCTCCATCCAGTCAAAGTTAAAACCGTTCCACACCATTCCAAGATTGCTTAGTAGGGGAAATTCGTTTATGGGACCCGAAACCTTGAACTTTTCTACTTCTGGTTACTTAGTTTTCAAAACTTGTTCCAGTGGGTGGGCGCTTTGGGAATTCGATCAGCTAGTACCTAACGAGTCCTACATTCATTGTAG